GTGCCGAACGTCCTTCATTTTTTGTCGTTCCTACTTCCGGTCGCAAACGGATGTGAATTCAAAAAGTTCAATTTTTCAACTTTTTTGTTTTTCAATATTTTTCTTTCGGATTTACAGGGTTTATAGAGCGTCTTCAAAGATATCTATATATGTTTTCATTTTCTTCATGCGTTTGTTTATTGCCAAGATATGACCGAACCAATCTTTGTCTTACTGTCGGGGGTTCGAATCCCGCTCGAGGCGTTCCCCAAATTTTTTCTTTCTTTTTGTCTTTTTTCAGTTGCAAATTACTTTTCACTCTTTTATAACATGTGTGGAACATTTTGCCGATTTTTAAAAGCTATATTTGGAGATATTTTGTGAAATACCTGGAACAATCACGATCTGTGTTGTGAAACTACTGTAAATGAACGTAAACGAAAACATATATTCTGAAATCTATTTCATGGGATGACGCAGCATAGAACTCTAAAGAAAAGTCAGTCGGAAGACCTACTTGTTGCCCTAACAACAAGAACGCATCTAGTTAAGGTCTTCCGTCTTCACGGAAGACCTTATAGTGATTCTATTGTTTCTTATTATTATTATTATTATTATTATTATTATTTTTCCGTACACCAAATTTTGTGCACGCGATTTCTCGAAGACTACTGGGTGGATTTTCATGAAATTTACAGAAATTATGTGTTATTATCTGAAGTTATTTTTTCCGAGAGATTTTTTGAAAATTCGCTTCTGGTGCCAAGTTACGGGACATTTTCTGAATGCGATAAAATGACATTTTGTCTACGGTTAATCTCAAGAACGGTAGAAGATATAAATGTGAAACTTTCAGGGATTATAGATCGTGATATATACTATCCAGGACGCGACCTTTCGTTCGTCGTCAATACTTCCTGTCGTTAGGAGATGCGAATGGAAAAAAGCGTATTTTCTAACTTTTTTGTTTTTCAATATTTTTTATTTATTTTTGGAATGCTAATAGAGACCTTTTGATTGATGCTTACTATAAAAGTTGTTTGGATATTGGTTAATCAGAACTCTAGATATTAATTTTTGAAAATCCGAAGCGGGACCAAGATGGCGGCTGTCTCTGTCAACTCCGCCATTTCGCGAGTAGGGGTTTATGGAGGCAGCTGAGCGTTTGATTAAACCATTCTGACATAAGGATACATGAAATGTAAAAAACTACTTCGACTCTCACGTAGTTGTGAAATGGTTGGAGGAGTTACCTCCCGTTACTTGTTTATATTATAATAGATAATCGATGTAAATATTGTAATTAATTGGTCAATTGACAAAAGAAGTATACAAGTATTATTGATAAATGATGTTCTGTTAGAAAATAATAATAGTGTTGCCAACAGAAAGGCAGTCTATTGTATTTTATCAATATGATATCTGATGACTTATGATCATTGATTAAGTTGAGGTACAAGGGGGCAGTACGGCCAATTGGCTGGTGTCTTCACTTTGGTTCAGAAACCAATTAGTGTATCTATCAAATCGAATCGTGCAATGTTGCCGTAGTCAGTGACTAGTTAAAATATAGCTGTGTGACGTTAGCTATAGGTTTGTCATTAGGACAGAGAAGCTCTTACAAAGTTTAATACTGTGTAAGTATATTTTAGCTACTTGGCTATAGTTATATAGGCAACTTGGTAAGCAGTAAGACACCAGGCAGGTGTTAAAGGCTAAATCAAGAGGCACCAGGCAGGTGGCTGTTGACTTATATAGTCAGTTGTATAGTGAAGCAATTGTCATATGGCACCAGGCAGGTGCCGGTATGAACTGAAGATATATAATTGTACAAAGCACTTAGGTCATTTGATTTAAAGACACCAGGCAGGTGTCATATTATAATCTGTATATATTGCATTCAATCATATCCCCAGTAAAACTCGGTAATCCGAGCACGGACCTACTGACCGCTCAGGTCCGACACGTTACAGTAGTAAGTTGCAATTGAGTGTCAATCTTAAAACTTAATTTCCGTTTCACTACTTTAGTGTAACTAGGCTAGAAACGATATGTAATGTGTATAATGTGTTACATATACTTTCTTAACGTCGAAATAAAATAAAGGCGCTAAGAATGTTTTATTTTTAAAATTTAATTGAAGCTATCATCCCTATTTAATAGATCAGTCCAAAGAAAAGGCGTAAAATATTTACTCGTGGTGTTTGGCGCAAAATTATGAATGCTTTTTATAATTCTTAGACAGGTGAACTGTTGCAAAAGTATACACAAGTATGTTTAGAGCAGTACTCCCTATAGCTTAATGGTTAGCGCGTTGGGGATAAAAAAGTAAAAAAAAAAAGCGCATTCACGTTGGCGACATGCGTTCAATTCTCCTTGTGACAAAAATTTTGAATCTCTTTTCAGCTCGATTTTACGTGAATTTCTTTTCATAAAACGGACGGAAGACCTCTCGTTGCTCGCAACGAGATCGTATCTAGTTATTATTATTATTCTTTTTTTTCTTCTTTGTTCTCCGGTACTTTTTTGTCCGCGAGTGTTCTCAGAAACTGTTCACCCAACTGACCTAAAACCTTTTTAGGGTTAATGGGTGTGTAGTGTAGGTGTGCGGAACGAAGGTCATGTTGTGCGCATACGCATGCACGTGCGGGCGCGTGCAACACGTGAATTGACTTATATATTTAAAATAGCTATAACTTTTACATTTTTTAATGAAATGATTTGAAACTCATTATATAAAGATATATTAATAGTGTAGAGAATGTGACACTGTCAAATTAGCACGAACTCACCTGCATGCACGTGTGCTTCGCTCTGATTGGCTGAAACGAAAATCTCAATATCTTTTCTGTTTTTTGACAATTTGCTATGAAATTTTAAACATGGGCATACTTTAGGATGTCCTACAATATGATATATAGCAATTGTCATGAAATCACGTGCATGCACGTGCGCTGCAATCTGATTGGCTAAAACTTTAAATGGCTATAACTCCCTTGTTTTTCAACCAAACAGGATGGGATTTAGAACATAGACAGATATAATAGACTCCTACAAGATGGTGTAGTCATCATGCACATGCATGCACGTGTTTGCACGTGTACTTTTCTCTGATTGACTGAAACAAAAATCTCAATATCTTTTTTGTTTTTTGACGAAATACTTTGAAATTTAAAACATATCAAATCACGCACATGCACGTGCGCTGCAATCTGATTGGCTTAAACTTTAAATGGCTATAACTCCCTTGATTTTCAACCGAACAGGATGGGATTCAGAACATAGATAGACATTATAGACTCCATACAAAAGGGTATGGTCGTCTTGCATATGCATGCACGTGCTTGCACGTGAAATGAGTAAAATTCCAAATACACTAGATTAAACATATTTTTGGATTAAATGCGGTAATATTTAGTATATCAAAATATATCAATAGTGTAGACAAGATGATATGGTCATTACGCACATGCATTCAAATGCGCATGCGTGCGATGCTGAAATTGAATACTTCTGGTAAAACTTTGTTAAAGTCTTAAATGTATCGCGTTTGTCTTATTTAATGAAGCTTACAGGGAATAAGGCACCAAAAGGGAGTTGGGGAGCGTTTGGGGAACATCTGTAACGGTTCCCGTTACAATTAGCCCTAGTTGAGGTTTGGTTTAATTTCTCAATGTGCATAATGGTAATGTTTACTGTCTCTGAAATTCTATTCTTTATATCTAGGCTATTTTATCCATGAATATAATAAAACATGCAAATTATATAGGCCTAAATCAAATTCAAGGGAGTACAGTTACTGATATATGTAGCTAAAATCAATGCGATTAAATTCTAAGGAATCGATACATTTAAAATTCATTGCAGCTCAATGCTGCCAACAATACCTTTATTGAGTAACACAGAGTGAGTTATTCTTGTCGTCGGAGAAAGTGTGCTTATGCTGAGGTTTGTTCCGCCTGACTAACAACTGTACATTGGATTGTTACGATTTGATATCTCTTTAGTTTTTCTTATATCAAGCATGGGCATGCATAAAGGATAGATAATTGAGGGAAAATACACAAGTCTATTAAAAAAATATTAAGATAGTCTTTGAAAAGGTGAAAATTTAAAAGTGTGGTACAAGGTGGATTCAAACCCCGACTTTAAAAAGTTAGTTTGCACGGTAAAATAGTCAGCACATGTATATCAACTGAACTAGTCTGACTATCAGGTTTAAAGGTAAAAATTTGAAGCAGATTATCAAAATCAGGTTTCCTTATTTTTTGTAGGTTTTTAGCTCACCTGAGCCGAAGGCTCAAGTGAGCTTTTCTGATCACACACATTTTCTTCGTCATCCGTCTGCCTGTCTAGCTATCTGTCTGTCTGTCTAGCTGTCCGTCCGTCTGTACACTTTTCACATTTTCGACTTCTTCTCAAGAACCACTGGGCCAATTTTGACCAAACTTGGTGCAGAGCATCCTTGGGTAAAAGGAAATTTAAATTGTTAAAATGAAGGGCCAACTCCCCTCACAAGGGGAGATAATCAAGAAAAGACAAAAAGAAAAAAAATCTTCTTCTCAAGAACCACAGGGCCAGAAAAGCTGAAACTTATGTGGAAGCAGCCTGGTGTAGTGTAGATTCTAAATTGTTCAAATCATAACTGCAGGGGGTTGGGCGGGGCCACAATGGGGAATCAAAGTTTTACATAGAAATAAATAAACTTATGTGGAAGCATTCTGGGGTAGTGTAGGTTTCAAATTGACTGTCTAAATTATGATCAGTGGGTAGGGTGGGGTCACAATATGTATAACAAGGGGGGAATCTGCTAAAGAACAGAATGGTCAAAGCTTTTCAGGTGAGCAATGTGGCCCATGGGCCTCTTGTTTGTGAATTTCGACCCTAGGGCAGGGATGCCCCTAAAACAATCCTATCTTAAATTATTCCTTACATCCAAACCTGAAAATATCACATTTTATTTAGGGGCAGGCCTTATAATTTTTTTTTTTTAATTATTTTACCTTTACGTATTCTTTCAGATGGTAGATAAATGTATTGGTAACAACTTGGATGTCATTGTTGTCAACATTTTGCTGTGTCTTTATGACCTTGAAGATGACAAATTTATGAAAACTGCTGTCATCAGGTGAGCTTAGCATAAAATGCAAATATGTACAAAATAAATATAATAAAAAGGATAAAAAAAGTCACTTAAATATATTGCAGTAATGCAAGACTAGTATCATTTTGAGGAATGCACTCATATACCTAGGGTCAATTATCTATATAATATGTATTGTTGAGGAAATTCAAACTATACTCATAACACTTTTTTCAGTGTGCAGTGTGTTAATTTTTAGTTTTTTAGTCTTCTGAGCCAAAGGCTCAAGGAGCTAATGCTATGGCCATTTGTGCGGTGTGTGTAAACTTTTTAGAATATGGGCCATAACTCAAGAACCCTTGGCCAATCAGTACCAAATTTGTCACAGGGTAACCTTGGCCCAAGGGCTTCCATTTATACTAAAATTAGGGTTGGGACCCTTAAACAAGGGGAGATAATCAGGAAAACAAAACCAAAAGTACTGGTTGCTAAAAAATCGTCTTCTCCATAACCACCAGGCAGATTTTCACCAAACTTACATACAAGGATCAGGATATGTCGAAGATTAAAATTTGCACGGGGAATTTTCCTGGGGCAAAGGGCGTGGTCTCAAGGTCACTTCAAAGTTGACCTAAATTTACAATTAATAAAAATGTGTATATTTTGCTTACTATAAGGACTAGGATCATCAAATTTTGTAACTTGATGCATCTTACGACTTCACATTATGTTAACTCAAAAGTAGGTCACGGTGACCTACTTTTAAAATTTTGCGGAGATTTGTTTTCAAATTGATTTGAAGGCATATTTTGGACACTTTAAGGCCTATGATCACCAAACTTTGTCAGTTGATGCATCTTGCGTCCTCGAACAATGTCACCTTAAAAGTAGGTCACCGTGACCTACTTTTTGAACTTTATGACTTATCCTTTTAAAAAAATTTAATCCCATTATTTCAGACACTGGGAGGTTTAGAATCATCAAATCTTGTACTTTGATGCATCTTGGGACCTTAAAACATATTTATGAAAAAGTAGGTCACTGTGCCTACTTTTTGAATTTTGCCGACATTTGTTTTCAAATTGTTTAAAATGCATATTTTGATTACCTTCAGACCTACGATCATCAAACTTGGTCAGTAGCTGCATCTTGGGTCATTGAAAAATGTCGACCAAAATGTAGGTCACAATGACCTACTTTCGACATTTTATGACTATATTTAAGTATCTTAGGTATTCATTGTCTTAGAATCATCAAACTTTGTGAGTCGATGCATATTTGGTTTTTGGAGAGTGACGACCAAAAAGTAGGTCACTGTGACCTACTTTTGACATTTTATGGATTTTTTTAAGTATCTCCGGTACTTTTTGGCTTAAAATCATCAAACTTTGTGAGTTGATGCATCTTGGGTTTTTGGAGAGGACGACCAAAAAGTAGGTCATGGTGACCTACTTTTGACATTTTGTGACTAGAATTAAGTATCTCTGGTACTTATTGACCTAAAATCATCAAACTTTGTGAGTTGATGCATCTTGGGTTTTGGGAGATTGTCGACCAAAAAGTAGGTCACAGTGACCTACTTTTGACATATTTATGGCTATATTTAAGTATCTCAGGCACTTACTGGCTAAGAATCATCAAACTTTGTCAGTTGAGGCATCTTGGGTTTTCAGAGAATGTCGACCAAAAAGTAGGTCACGGTGACCTACTTTTGAATATCTCAGGTACATATTAGCTTAGAATCATCAAACTTTGTCAGTTTAGGCACCTTAGGTTTTCAGAGAACGTCGACCAAAAAGTAGGTCACTGTGACCTACTTTTTGACATTTTATGGCTGTATTTAATTATATCTGGTACTTATTGGCTCGGAATCATCAAACTTTGTCAGTTGAGGCATCTTAGGGTTTCATTGAATGTCCAATAAGAAGTAGGTCACGGTGACCTACTTTTGAATATCTCAGGTACTTATTGGCTTAGAATCATCAAACTTTGTCAGTTGATGCATCTTGGGTTTTCAGAGAATGTTGACCAAAATGTAGGTCATGGTGACTTACTTTTGAATATCTCAGGTACTTATTTAATTAGAATCATCAGTCTTTGTCAATTAATGTTTCTTGAGTCCTCAGAAAATTTCAATCAAAAGGTAGGTCACTGTGACCTACTTATGGTATTTTATAATTATATTATAATATCTTCAGTCTTAACTGGCTAAATATTATCAAACTTTGTAAGTTGATGAATTTTGGGTCTTATGATACTAATAGAGTTGGAGGCTTCTAATAGAAGTGATAGATTGAACAATTTATCAGAAGAGCGATTCAAGGCCCTTGGGCCTCTTGTTTGTAAACTTCTGCTTCATATACACCAGAATACACTGAATGCACTTTTTGATTGACATATCCAACTGTATGCTAAAAAGAAACGAGGCTTGCAACTTTATTTGCCCCTTTCCATGCCCCCCACACGTTTTTTTTTTTTCCCTTTTAAAAGTTGTATGCACTGCTCACCAGCTGAATTATGAATCCCAAACCTCTCCAGATAATTCTTATAAATGATAAAAATCCTCAGGTATTAACTTTTCATCCTTATATTATTATTAACAAATAATTTTTTCTCCAATTTTCTCCAATTTTGTTCATTTAATTTTGTATTTACGGAAGTTCCCACATTCCAACATCCGAAACCCAAAAAGGGGGGCCAGGAAATTAATTGACAGCTCTGTTAAACGCAAGGATCAGAGTAGCTGCAAATCTGTAGCGTTATGGTTTTATATATTTGACTGACCAATGCTAGAAAGTGGAGAAATTCTCCCGAAAAGTGCGCAAAAAATATTGTGCCGTAAATTGCACCTTTTTTGCATTATGGGTTCTGAAGCATTATGGTCAATGACAAATATATAAAACCATAATGCTACAGACCTGCAGCAAGGATCAGAGTATATGCCAATTAAACCTGTCTAAAACTTAACTAATTACTGACAATATATTTTTTTAGGTCACCTGAGTCACTCAGGTGACCTATTGCTATCTGTTTTTGTCCGTCGTCGTCCGTCGTTCGTCGTACGTCGTTCGTCGTTCGTCGTCAATCGGTCGTAAACTTTTGAACATTTTCAGCTTCTTCTCTGCAACCACTGAACCAATTTCAACCAAATTTGGCACAAAGCATCTATAGGTGAAGGGGAACAAAAATTGTGAATTTCATGATTCCTGCCCCCCTGGGGCCTGAGGGGTGGGGCCAAAACCACTAAAATTAATGCAATCTTTAAAAATCTTCTTTACTCCTGGACATTAAGCAGTCAAACTGTTTGAGACTGTAATTAGCATTGCGTCCTTTACCAAAATTGTGAAATTCATGGCCCTGGGGTCAGGGGTACTTGTGCTGGGGCGGGGCTTAAAAGTATATAGTGAAAATGCATTATTTCTTTAAAAATCTTCTTCTCTGCTCCTGGGTATTAAATAAACTAACTAAGTACATAGTTATGATGAGCAAGTGTGCCTCTACCAAAATTGTGAATTTTATGGCCCCAGGGTCAGGGGTTCTGGGGTAAGGGCTTGGCTCTATTGATTATATAGTGAAAATTCATGAATTCTTTGAAAATTCTTCTTCTCTGCTCCTGGGTATTAAATGAACAAACTAAGTACATAGTTATGATGAGCAAGAGTGTCTCTACCAAAATTGTGAATTTTATGGCCCCAGGGTCAGGGGTTCTGGGGTAAGGGCTTGGCTCTATTGATTATATAGTGAAAATTCATGAATTCTTTGAAAATCTTCTTCTCTGCTCCTGGGTATTTAATAAACTAACTAAGTACATAGTTATGATGAGCAAGTGTGCCTCTACCAAAATTGTGAATTTTATGGCCCCAGGGTCAGGGGTTCTAGTGTTGGGGGGGAGGGCTCTATTGATTATATAGTGAAAAAATTACATGAATTCTTTGAAAGTCTTCTTCTCTGCTCCTGGGTATTAAATAAACTACATGTAACTAAGTACATAGTTATGATGAGCAAGAGTGTCTCTACCAAAATTGTGAATTTTATGGCCCCAGGATCAGGGGTTCTGGGGTAAGGGCGGGGCTCTATTGATTATATAGTGAAAATACATGAATTCTTTGAAAATCTTCTTCTCTGCTTCTGGGTACTGTAAAATCACATATTTTCGTGGTGTCAATTTTTCGTGGTTTGAAGAAAATTTCTTGTTTCGAGGGGATTTGATTTCGTGGATGTAGAATTGTTGAGTAGTAATGCATGTCATATTTTACATTTCGTGGTGGACATGAATTCGTGGGTCTCTTCACACCACGAAAACCACGAAAATTAAACCCCCACGAAAATTTGTGATTTCACAGTATTAAATAAACTAACTAAGTACATAGTTATGATGAGCAAGAGTGCCTCTACCAAAATTGCGAATTACATGGCCCCAGGGTCAGGGATTCTGGTGGGGGGGGGCTGTATTGATTATGCATGTAGTGAAAAAACATTAAAATATTGAATATTTTCTTCTTTGCTCCTAGACTTAAAGCAGATGAACTACCTATATAGTTATGAGCAAGGGACCTAATCTTAGAGAATTGTAAATTTCAAGACCCCAGGGTCAGTTGTACCATAGAGTTGGGGGGGGGGGGGGCTGTACTTATATACTAAAAATGAATGAATTGTTTGAAATGTGCTCCTTGGTATTTATCAAATATTTTTGAAAAGCAAGGATGCTTTTACAAAAATTGTGCAATGTGTGGATCTAGCCCTAAGAGTAAAGGGTTCATGTGTGGTAGCGGCACAACTGATTATTGCTGAATATTACTGATTTGTTGATATGCATTTTTTGTTCCCCTACCTTGCCTATCGGTATTAGCAACCAAACTAAAGAACTGTTAAGTGTATAGTTATGATGACCAAATTGTAAATGCTATAGCATCTGGCTTAAAACATGGATCAAATTCAATCACTGGAAAGTTGTTGAATAATGCTCAGGTGACCTATAAGGCCCATGGGCCTCTTGTTTAACCTGTATCCTTAATCAAAGGAAATTAAAGTTTAATTTATAGAAT